AAGGAGGGTATGGGGGGTGTGTATGTGTGTGTGTGTGTGTGTGTGTGTCATTATCTTCGTTTCTTGATCCTGGCTGTCTCTGAAACAGAAAAGGTTAGCGGGCAGGGGGGGGTGTCGTTGGGGTCGTTCATAGGACAAAACATAATTATTTTTTGTCGAATTAACCCAGGGGGATATTTACGGGAGGTCTTTTTGAAACGGCCTGTATACAAAGCGAATTCAAGAACAAAAAAAAACCAGGTTACAATTTGCTTCAAATCGAAATTCGGCATTTAGGTGATGACGTCATCTTATGATTGAACAAATTTTCATATGCAAAATACATTAGTTACACTTTGTTTCAAGTAAATTGAAAACTGCACTTGACACAGACAATGCAGTCGCAATTATGTGCAAAGCGAATTTAAGAACGAAGAGCAGGTTTTTCAGCCGTAAACCAACATCTGTTCTGAATCTGAAGAACCATGTTAGTGCTGTGCACAAGAATATTGTTACATCATTTTTTTTTCAGCAATCCGTAATCATAGTGCAAGAATATAGACGAAAATATATCATTCTTGTTTTGCGATAGCAGAAGAGGAAGAAGAGCAATAACTCTCCCTATTCGATATTTTCATTGAGGTTAAACAAGCGAGTCACGGTTTTATATTTACATTTCAAAGAAAATTGTTGCAATGAAGAATGTTCAAGAAACTTCTTGTAAGCTTTGTCTCAAAACTGTAGGTTTTGAGGTAATAAACGACGTTATTAGAGATAGTTTAGATGTTCTTTTGCTAAAATTGGTAAGTTATATGTAATAGTTCAGGGTCGTTGATATGGATGGAAACGATCGAATATCTCCTAAAAGTAAGATAGGTATCGATAAATCATAAGATATAAACGTTTTTTAAAATCTATTCCAATAAAGAAAAGTATACAGGATCAGTGAATAAATTATGAAGAAACAAAGTTGCTTTTTCCTTATTGGAACAGCCCTGTATCCATATTTCAATTCTTCTCGAAATTCTAAACCAAAATTCATATAGTATACTTCATGTACCTAAACTTAACCGTTTTCGCGATATAGAACTTTGAAAATCATTTTTTATAAATTATACAAAAATATTTTAGTCCATTAAGTTTATAGTGCATCAAGTTACCTTTGAAAGTTTCTAGCTCCATAACAACGCCGCGACGTTCTTTTGTCTAATAGTGAATACTGATTATCTTGACAACACATGTCGAAAATACATTTACTGTGATTTAGAAGTACGTTCCTGATCGAGATGCAATTCATGAGAAATATCCACTACTTCCTCTTCTGTCACCATAGCCTATGATCATTAAAACGTCAATACACTCCGGTTCACTTAAGGGGCCATTTTTGTGAAAAATTTATTCACACAAATTATATTTTTGACATGTGTTGTCGAGATAATCACTATTACACTGTGTCTAATTTAGGCAAAAGAACGAAGCGGCATTGTCTCATTGTCCCGAAGCTAGAAACTTTCAAAGGTAACTTGATGGACTAAAATATTTTTGTATAACTTATAAGAAAATGATTTTCAAAGTTCAATATTTAGAAAAAGGTAAAGTTTAGGTACATGATGTGATATATGAATTTTGTTTAGAATTTCGAGAATAATTGAAATATGGAATAATATACAGGGTGTTCCGATAAAGAAAGAAGAACTTTATTATCTCATGACTTAATGTTATAATAATACTACTTAATTTTTCTTTATTGTAATAGATTTTAAAAAACCTTAAAGCGTTTGTGTCTTATGATTTTTCAATAGCGATTTTTCCAAATGTGAACTAATTCACATTTCATAGGCATGGCTCCTTTATACTTTACTTTTCGTTGAATGTTGTAAATTGACTTGAAAATTGTTTTTAAATGTGACTATAGTTATAATTGTTTTACTTGATAATTGATATTTTCTGCCAAAGTGATTTTCTTTCTCTTTAGTTAACGTTGTATATATTTCAGAAATTTGATAGCAAGGGCAAAGAGGTTATATGTAACGTTTGCAAAAGAAAGTTAGACGCAGCATTCGAATTTAAGTCAACTTGTCTGAAGAACGATTACACAATTATTCCATATGTGGATTGTGAAAAAATGTTACGGCTCGATATAAGAGATGTGTATACGAAGGAAAAGACAAACGAGTCAATGGATATTTCAGATGGTCAGAAAATATGTCGATTGTGTATGCATCCAGTAGAAAGTGAGTTTAGGTGCATTTGTGAAGAGGAACTTGAAGCTATCGAGAAATTGGTTCCTGAAATGGTATCAATGATATTAAATAGATACATTTTTCGCAATTTAATGAAACTGCTTTCCAGAATATAAATATCATCAAAGATCCCGTTGTTTGTAAGGAATGCTTTGATTCTGTGTGCACCCACAACAGTTTCCTAAAAAATTGCTGGGAAGTACAGGAAAGAATTAGAGGTATTTTTAATAGCGTAGGAACAGAAAGTCAGACAGATACTTCACCAGCTGATTTATTCGTTAAGACTGAAAGCCAGGACAAAGAATTGGATATCAACGAGATGGAAATGTCGATCAAAGCTGAAAGTATCGACATAAAATCTGAAGATGAAGAAAACAGGTAAGAGAAGACTATTTTAACAATAATTTAATAGGTAATCGTATAATTCTGGATCTTCTTTAATTTTGCATCTCTAGCATTAATTTCCTGTATTTCTGAGGGTTTCCGCATAATTAATTATTTTTAACATATCTTCAATACAGATGTGGCTCAACAAAAATATAATTTATATGCTAATAAAACTGAAATAATGAAGTGTGTAGTTCAGAAACTTATAATTACATTTGGAATAACCTATGACCCCTTAGAATTAACACCTCACATTGGAAAATAGCCTGTATATGTAATTTTTTCAGCCACTCGCTACTGCAGAGCTCCGATAGTGAATCGTTGGAGAAGAGTGTCCATAGAGATGCAGTCGAGGATGGATATAAACATGAGAATATATCCATAAACGAATGTAATACGAAAGTCAAGCAGGACGACAAAGTATTTTACAAATGTGATAAATGTCTTTACAAAACTGAAAGCGAGAGCCGATTTATAGCACACCGTGCGAGACACGAGAACAATTTGGAAGCATATAAATGTGAATCGTGTGAGTATGAAACAGAAAATACAAAATTTTTTCAGAAGCACCGGCTGAGGCATGAAGATCCTTTGGAAGTACGTATGCACCGATCCGGATCATTTGATTACAAGACAAAGCACAAGTGTGAGCTTGCTAAGTGTCTGGTGAAACACAAAAGCGCATCTGAAGGACGATTGTACGAGTGTGACTTTTGTGATTTCAAGACAAAACGTAAGGTCAATTTTAATAGTCATTATATGAAACATAAAAATTCGAACAATTGTGTAGAATGTGACTGTAAAACCAAATACACTGCATTACCGAATAAGGACAGTTTACAACTACCCATTTATAAATGTGACGGTTGTACATACGATTCAAAGGATAACAGAAACTTTACCAGACATCGGTTGGTACATAAAGATCCTTCGCAGGTCAAAATGTACAAGTGTAACAACTGTGATTACGAAACTAGATACAGGGATATTATGATAGATCATCAACTGAAGCATAAAGATCCTTCTAAAGTTCAAATGTATAGGTGTAATGACTGCGATTACAAAACTGTATGCAAGAGATATTTCACTAAGCACCAATTGAAACATAAAGATCCTTCGCAGGTTCAAATGTACAAGTGTAACGACTGCGATTATGAAACTAGATATAGGAAGGATTTCAAACGGCACCTACTGAAACATAAAGATCCTTCGCAGGTTAAAATGTACAGATGTAACGACTGTGATTATGAAAGTAAATACAAGAGTGTTATCAAACAACATCAACTGAAACATAAAGATCTTTTGCAGGTTCAAACGTACAGGTGTAATGACTGCGACTTGGAAACTAAATACAAGAATTGTATCAAACGGCATCAACTGCAGCATAGAGATCCTTCTCAGGTTCAGTTGTATAGGTGTAACGACTGCGATTACAAAACTAAATACAAGAGGTATATCAAAGGGCACCAACTGAAACATAAAGGTCCTTCCCAAGTTCAAATGTACAGGTGTAACGACTGCGATTTTGATACTAAATACAAAAGTTGCATGAAAGGGCACCAACTGACACATAGACAATCTGTACCGACTGTGACTATGAATCCAAATGCAGGAGAGGTGTAAAATATTACAGGTTGAAGCATAGAGAGCCTTCACGAGTGTATGAGTATGCAAAGGTGTGTCGCCAGTGATGTAAAATGACCGTCATTTAAGCTCGTGACGGTCATTACACGTCATAAATAGTTTCAGTTAGGAAAAATACTTAAATGTAAATGGTTTTTATCTCCTCGCTATGCAAAATAAAAGTAATTTTTCTAAAATATAAATTACTGAATTGCCTTAATAAATTCAACAACAAAAACTATATTAATATCAAAAAAGTTTTTATCTACAAAACAAACAATACAAAAAACAAATGTTCTTTGGCTATAGATTACAAGTTATAAAGTAATAAAACAAAATATTATTACCATTGCTTAAGTTTTAAAGACACCACGTCACCAGGTGGACATAAACCTACTTCTTACCGCATTGATAATGAATATTTAATACATATTAATTTAATATTAACCTTAATAAAATCATTTAAATATTTAAGAAACAAAAACTGTCATGACGCGATTTTCTATGTGACGCGACGGTCATGACAGGTCACGACATCGGTCATGCGCTGGTCACATGACCCACTTACATCACTATGTGTCGCAGATTCAAATGCATCAAGGTGATCTGGAAACCACACATAAGAAGTCTCTAAGGAGATATCTGCTGATGCACAAAAAACATTCGTGGGTGTGAAGTATGGTCCATTGAAGAAGTCAAAAATGGAGGCATTTAAGAGACCGACCATAAATATGTGAATGTGTAAAATGTAAAGCCTATCGTGAAAAACATCGGTTCAAACACAAAACTCTCACTGAAACACAGAGACAAGACAAGTGATTTTGGACTAGCGCTTTTGTAGCAATGCATTAAAATAAATACTTTGTAATATGCACCTGCTTTATTCTATGTTTAAAGATGTATCTTTTTCATTATCAATATTCAGGGAGAATGTTAAATGTGAACATGTGTATTTTAAACAACTGCAAAAAATTAGGAACAAAATAAATATGCCTTGGTTTTCTTAATAAAAAATGGTTGAGAACTGCTGACTTGGCTGTGGTATTTATGCGTTGAGAGATCAACTTTTCTGTGTTGCCGATGTCGTATAGACTTGTAAACTCTGGTTTTTAGCAATAAGGTCTATCCTGTTTTTCACTCCTAGCTTAGAAACTCGGTATTCGATTGTTCACATGATTTTCGAGACAAGCGTTGCGGTAAACCGGAAAGCAGTAGTGGGAAGTTTTTTATTTTATTTAAATTATATTTGCATAAAATAAATTCACCTAATTTAATTATTTGTGTTGTGCTTATGAGTAAGAGTTGTGTACATGTGGATGGGAAGATTATGACGACTTTGGCTTGAGAGGCTGTCAGCTAAACGAATTTTGTAGTGACCACCTTCATTTTCTATTTTTAAATAAGGGTTTATTTGATACATTTATTTTTTTGGCGTCTTTAATTTTTATATCTACACATTTAATATTAACCCTGCGTCCTATGTAATTTATAATTTTCATTTGATTCTTCGTAATTTGTGTAGGGGGAACAGGGTTACAAGTGCAAAGAAACGTTATTGTACCAACACTGTTATTCCCTATTGTATTTTATTAGTATTATTTTAAGGCATAAATATAGGTTTAAATATTTAGCTTTTATTGTGCACTATTGTATGAATATACATATTTATGTATGTAGCATTTAATTAATTAAATATGATTTCACACATGCATTACAGTGTATTAATGTGTTTAAAGGAGCCATTTACTTTTGTTTATTTTTACACAGTTTTTGTTCTTGTGTACATAAAAATCTGCAAATTGATCTGATCCAAAATGATAACTTCTGTTCCAGAATTGTAGGAACTACGTAATAAAATCGTGACGAGATTAGATTTGTAGCGCCATCTTTCGGGTAAAAATGGTACTAATATGTAATACTTAATAAATATTACAGTATGCTTTAAATTTATAGGCGGTCATTGATTGAAATATTCCATACAGTTTTTCGGTCTATCATTATTGATAGATGGCGCTATCTACTTGGCAAAATGGGAAGACGTTATGATTCATAACTTTTCAAAAACATTGAATTAAGTTCTATAATAGGGTATTTTCACATTTTTTTTTTACTTGAAAAATAGAAAGTACTTAAGCCATATATAACTAATGAAAACTTTTTTTGTCTAAAAAAAATCGCTGTAATAGTTTTAAAACAAATATAAATTTAAGTAAAATATTTGGCGCGAAAAATGCCTAATCGAGTACGACTGGTTGCCTAGACTATTGTGACGTAGGAACTCATATCAACAAAGCCATGTATGTACAAGTACCTGTTGAGGTTATTTTATTTATTCCTGTTTTTATTGAATTTGCCAAGTTTATTTACTTTTTTTTTAAATAATAATTATATAATACAAAAAGTAAGACATGTACGAATCACAAAATAAGTGGTGTTTTGTGCCCGGATGAAAAAATAGTTCAATAAGTGCACCTAATAAAACATAAGTGTACCGCAGAATTCTTCACGCAAAATTAAATGGTTTAAAGCAGCCAGGCGAGATGTTCCTAAATCAAAATCAACAATTTTTTGTTGCGAGGATCATTTTAACGTAAGTAAATATCAATTA